CTCCTAAATCACTCGTACGCACAATTTAAGAACAAATCTGTGCGTACGAACAGTTCTTGCATGAGGCCCATTGTCCACCTAAACCAGGGCTATTCAACTGGCAGCCCGTGGGCCACATCCAGCCCGCGAATGACCAAAGTTTGGCCCGCCAATTGGTTCATTAATCTCTTCAGCCCAAACCCCAGGTTTTCTACTTTAATTACTAAAAGGTCTTTTAGTTAAACATAGACATGTTTTTTATCTATAGAAACATCAGAATCTTGGCTACAAGCTGGTAAAAACCATTTCTATGAACACTCAAGACAGTTAAAATTACAAGCAGTTGAATATAAAATTATGAAAATAAAAATAAAATTGGTTAAAATATTTGGCAAGTCAGAGATGTCAAAATAATATTTGTGTCAAACAGGAGGCATAATGTGTTAATTTTGATACTGTTTAATTATCACTACTTTTACAACAGTATGTTGTGTTGATGATTAAATACAACAAAATAAACTATTTCAAAGATAACAGATCTTTGTAATACTTGGTTTATTTACATAATGACTTTAATTGCTGGATGTTTGGCACCTGAGCTGTTGGCCTACAGTAACTGTGGCTCTCAGAGCAATTTAGTTGAATAGCCCTGACCTAAACAGACCAGCCAGTTCAGATGTTATCAGTCCATTAAATGGGCATTGTTAGAGGTTATCAGTCCCATAGAATGGCTTCAGACTGTCCCAAATGTGCCGTCTAGCAGGTTATCAGTCCCACAGAATGGCTTCAGACTGTCCCGACAGTGCCCCCTAGTGGGTTACCAGTGCCCTATATGTTGGAATGCAACAATCTGCTACTGCCAGAGTCTGGTCTACTTTATCGTAGCCCATGTCATTTGCTCTAAAATTAAACTTAGTGGATTTATGTCTCATATTAACCAGATTGCATAAAAACCTTAGTGGCTTTATGCCTTGTATTAACCAGATTACATAAAAAAACAGTGGTTTTATGCCTCATACTGTATTAACCAGATTGCATAAAAAACCTTAGTGGCTTTATGCCTCATCCTAACCAGCTGACAGTCTGAAGCCATTCTATGGGATGGAGAACCCAGTAGGCGGCACAGTCGGGACAGTCTGAAGCTGATCTGAAGCCATTCTATGGGACTGGTAACGGCTAATAAYGTCCATTTATGGATGATAACATCCGAAGCGGGTGAACTGACTAGCTGAAAAGAGACTAGTAACCTGAGAAGCAGATAGTAAAGTAACTAACTCTGGAAGAGCTGCAGAGGTCAGGCTTAGTTGGACAATCTGTCCTCAGGACAACTTTTAGTTGTGCTTTTCACAAATCTGTCATTTATGAAAGAGTTGACAGTCCTATATATACTCAGAGCAAACAGTAAAAGATTGCACATCTGAACACACCATCCTCATTGTGAAAYATGGTGGTAGCAGCATCATGCTGAGGACAGTGAAGTTGGTAACTCAGCTTCTGAAGGCTTTAAATTTTGTTTGGACTATTACAGTAAAGGAGGTGAAAAATAAAAGTGTGCCACATTTTCAGATTTTTATTTGTAAAAACTAGTTTAAAAAGTAATTTTCCATTGGCCTTGTAATTGTTACCTCCAATCACATACAATTAAATACTTTGTGGTTTTAACATGATAAAATGTAGAAAGTGTGTGAAAACATATTCAAGGTGCTGTACTTTTATAAATATAGTGATTATTTAGTTTCATAAGAACCACTCACCAGTCTGCCATGAAGGTGTCCTAAACTGAGACAGGAGGGAGGAGGCAGAGGGTGTCGGCTGTGGACCCCGAGACTCCAGAGCTGAAATCAGGTTCATGACAGAGGAGTCAGGACCTGAAGGACTGGGGTGGTGGAGACTCGTGTCAAACAGTCCCGACAGACCTGACAACAGGACAAAAATGCTCCTCATTAATACAGCTCCTCTACAAACTTCACTTCTCTGTACAAATATTCTACAGCAGAAAGAGTCAAACAGGTAAGAACTGACAGTCTGTCAGACTGGTTTGGTTATAAAACTCATCTGTGTGTCATTATTTACGTTAGCTCACTTCACAGACCACATAATAACATWTTCTTTACTTCTATAAAAAACAATTTCTTTAATGTGGGACACGTTTTTTATTGTGAAACACTGATTGGTCCAGTGCGTCCAGGTGGTCCAGCTGTCATTTTTAAGTGAGAAGCTCACCGAATCTCCTCTGGGTGGAGTTTACATGTTCTCATTGTGAATGTGTGAGTTTTCTTCCCACACACCAAAAGCATACATGTTAGGTTAACTGGTGACTCTAAGCTGTCCCTAAGTCCCTGTGTGTCTTTGTGAGGGACTGGAGACATGTTCAGGTGTCTCAGTTTGGGACTGGAGACAWGTCCAGGTGTCCTGCATTTCTGGCACAGTGTTTCTGTTCATATAGACACTTTAAAGATATATTGTGAAATGTAATTATCCATGTTTTGTTTTGTCATTACTGAGAATAAAATGACAAACATCATAAAAGGTGAATATTTTTGTTCAGAGTATAGTTTCCTCTGACCCTACATTAGAAAACTTCACCTGATTGGTTCACTCTAAACTGTAGCCAACTCTCATCTACTACCACAGGACTCTGGTGCTCAGTWTCTGTAAAACTGGAGGGTTCTTTTTGTTGCACTGAGGTGACTCCAGCGTTAATCAGCTGTAAATGGAATATTAAGATTCATCAGATATTATGCTAACAGACACTCAGGTGATAATAGAGAACAGGTAAGTCTTACTGAGTGCGTGTCCAGCAGCACCCCAGGCTCCGCCCTGCCTCGAGCTGCCAGGGTGGTGGTTGGTTGCATAGCCTTGGAGGGGGTGAGGTGGGGCATAGGGCTGCCGGTGGAAAAGTTCTGAGTCTGGGTGGGCTGACCTGGAGCTCCCATACATGAAGCTGAAGAAGAGAGGGTCAGTCAGCTGTAGGTTAAAGTCAGGAAGATGAAACACAGCTGGAGCCAGATGTTTACATACACTACAGAAACACACACAGGCTGACAGAATTATCTCTATTAGTTCAAAACCCAAAGAATGAAATCTATATAATTTATTATTATTATTATTATTATTATTATTATTATTATTATTATTATTATTATTATTATTATTATTTATTGTTGTCAGTTTTTGGTGTTGTGTTTAATGATTGGGTCAAATGTTTCTCACTTTACTTCCTGGTCCTCCTCACAGAACTGGAGGAACTGAGGAACTGAGGAACCCTGAGTGTGTGGGTGACTTCGTCACACACACTCTTCCAGGTTCACCAACACATTTTCTGCATCTCTTATAGACGTAGTGATGGTGGCACTGAAACCTGGACTAAATCGTCTTTCAGTCACTTAATAACTGAGCTGAGGTAATGAGGGCGTTGCTGTGGTCAGTCATAGTGAAGAAAGACTTGAGTCTCTTAACCCGTTTAATCCCACTGGCAACAATTGTTGCCAGACATTTTGTTTTACTTCTGGAAGCTCTAAAAGTGTTATTTTGGCTTTGGGCAGCTAATTTCAGTTTTACAACAGTATAATAGGCAGCCTACTCTTAGTTATATCAATTTCATGTAGTTAGTGTGAATGGTAGCATGACCACAACCCTTGACTTCCTGCCTGCCCTGCCAGAGAGAAAAGTCTACCTCAAACTGGTACAAAATGTCCGTCCGTCCGTTTTCTTCTGCTTATCCGGGATCGGGTCATGGGGGCAGCAGTCTAAGCAGAGAGACCCAGACTTCCCTCTCCCCAGCCATTTGGGCCAGCTCATCCTGGGGAACCCCAAGGCATTCCCAGGCCAGCCGAGAGACATAGTCCCTCCAGCATGTCCTGGGTCTTCCTCTGGGCCTCCTCCCAGTGAGACATGCCTGGAACTCCTCAACAGGGAGGCATCCAGGAGGCATCCTAACCAGATGCCCAAGCCACCTCAACTGGCTCCTCTCAACGCGAAGGACCAGCGGCTCTACTCAGAGTCCCTCCCGGATGACTGAGCTTCTCACCCTATCTCTAAGGGAAAGCCTTGATCTTGTTCTTTTGGTCACTACCCAAAGCTTGTGACCATAGATGAGGGTAGGAACGTAGACCGACTGGTAAATCAAGAGCTTTGCCTTCTGGCTCAGCTCTCGCTTCACCACAACAGACTGGTCCAGCGCCTGCATCACTGCAGACACAACACCAATCCGCCTGTCAATCTCACGCTCCATTCTTCCCTCATTCGTGAACAAGACCCCAAGATACTTAAACTCCTCCACTTGGGGCAGGACCTCCTCCCCGATCCGGAAGTGGCATGCTACCGGTTTCCGGCTCAAGACCATGGTCTCAGATTTGGAGGCACTGATCCTCATCCTGGCTGCTTCACACTCAGATGTGCACCGCTCCAGTGAGAGCTGGAGATCACGATCTGATGAAGCAAATAGGACGACATCATCCACAAAAAGCAGAGATGTGATCCTAATATCACCAAAAAGGATCCCCTCGACACCTTGGCTGCGCCTAGAAATTCTATCCATAAAAGTTATGAACATAATCAGTGACAAAGGGCAACCTTGGCGGAGTCCAACTCTCACTGGAAACGAGTCCGGCTTACTACTGGCAATGAGGACCAAGCTCTGGCACCGGTCATGCAGGGACCTAACAGCCCGTATCAACGGGCCTGGTACCCCATTCTCCCAGAGTACCCCTCACAAGAGTCCCTGAGGGACACGGCTGAATGCCTTCTCCAAATCCACAAAACACTTGTAGACCGGTTGGGCAAATTCCCATGCACCCTCCAGGACCCTGCTGGGGGTGTAGAGCTGGTCTGCTGTTCCACGACCAGGATGAAAACCACACTGCTCTGCCTGAATCTGAGATTCGACTATCCGACGGATCCTCCTCTCCAGGACCCCCGAATAGACCTTGCCAGGGAGGCTCAGAAGTGTGATCCCCCTATAGTTGGAACACACTCTGCGGTCCTCCTTTTTAAATAGGGAGACCACCACCCCGGTCTGCTAATCCAAGGGAACTGCCCCCGATGTCCATGCGATATTGTAGTGTCGCATCAACCAACACAACCCCACAACATCCAGAGCCTTAAGGAACTCCGGGCGAATCTCATCCACCCCCGGCGTCCTGCCACTGAGGAGCTTTTTAACCACCTCAGTAACCTCAACACCATAGATTGAAGAGTCCGACCCAGGGTCCTTAGGCTCTGCTTCCTCATGGGAAGACGTGTCAGTAGGATTGAGGAGGTCTTCAAAGTATTCCGCTCACTGACCCACAAAGTCCCGAGTTGAGGTCAGCAGTGCACCATCCCCACCATAAATAGTGTTGGTGGCAAACTACTTTCCCCCCATGAGACGCCGGATGGCAGACCAGAATCGCCTGGAAGCCGTACGGAARTCTTTTTCCATGGCCTCTCCGAACTCCTCCCACACCCGCATTTTTGCCTCAAAGACAACACCAGAGCCGTAATCCGCTTGGACTGCCAATACCTATCGGCTGCTTCTGGAGTCCCACAGGCCAAAAAGACCCGATAGGACTCCTTCTTCAGCCTGACAGCTGGCACAAAATGGAGTAGGGGTGTAAGAAAATATCGATACACTGAAATATCACGATATTTCATTTCCCGATACTGTATCGATATTCTAAAGTCC